GAGAGAGAGAGAGAGAGAGAGAGAGAGAGAGAGAGAGAGAGAGAGAGAGAGAGTTCAGAGGCTGACTACTTCGGCATCGTGGCACCCAGGACTTAGACTTGGCATTCTGATGAGACGATTGTTGGGACATTGTTGGAGAGACTATTAGAAGCAACTGTGAGCTATTCTTTGTCTTCTCTTCCACCTCCGTCTCTTCGCCACGTCCATCATCGTCTTCCCCACGAGAATGTATCAACAAGGAGGGACCTTTCATCTATGGACGTATACTCAAATTTAATAATGTAACCAGGAGCTTTAATCTCATGCAATGATTACATCACTAAGGTAGCATGTTCGTCAAGACACAACCCTTGCACACTCCACTACCCGCTCAGACTGCTGTGTGATGATGCATGTGTGTGCATAGTCGTGAGTCCGATTGAATCAGATCGTCAGTTGGAGTCTTCCGCTTCTTTACATTGCTTCGTCTTCTCTCGTGTTGATCTGCATTGCTTCGTTGTTGCTCGTGTCTCTGTTTTGTGATTCTTCTCTTCACATTGGCCATCTTTTGGGGCTGTGCATCAGTTTGCTATCGGAGCAGCCTTGCCTCATTGTAGACCCTATAAGCAGATAGTCTGTGCCCTGCCTATCTGCTTATAGGCATGCATCAGTTTGCTATTGGAGGCTTTGGAGCAGACCAAAGTGAAGAGAAGGCCACTGCCTATCTCCCTATAGGCATGCATCAGTTTGCTATTGGAGCTGACCAAAGGGAAAAAAGAAAGCGAGAACCGACTCCTTCTGGATCGTCGAATGGAAGAAAGAATTTTCTGATCGATTGATCTGTGTGCTGATTGATTCCCTACTTAAATCTCAGATTGCAATTTCGAATTTTCCTTGCGTCTGAGTTAAAAGTTGCTCTATCTGCGGATTGTGCGCAGCGCAAATTTATCACAATTTTTAATAATTTTATGATAATTTTTATCAAATTTCGAGAATTTTCGACCATTTCTCTTTTTTTTATGCGTGTCATCCTTTCCTTGTGCAGGGGTCATGCTAATCTTATTTCTGTCTATCACTCCATTTTTAATGGATGTCCCGAAGGACAACAGCGCAACGTTTTATAATTGCTCAGCTTCAAGGGTTTTTTTTTTTTTTTTTTTTTTTTTTTTTTTTTTTTTTTTTTTTTTTTTTTTTTTTT